CCTGATGCAAATATATAGTCAAATTTTCAGAACAACCTTTCTTCTTTTTTCATGAAAATCAGCAATGTTTTTCACTATAGGAAATTGCTCAGAATCAAAGCCTTATGGGCTATGTATATTTTTCCCAATTTTTAGCTGAACAACACTTACACCTATATATAGCCCCTTGAAAAAGACTAAACGCATTTTAAAGTGTTTTGAAAACGTTGTAAAAACGTGTTCCCAAAAAACTGTTCAGATATTTTCAAATTTCTGCAAACACTAAATTAAAACCTGTCTCTTGCTAGTCGACTACTTGTAGGCTCATTTTTTATTTCGACTACACTTGATCTATCAGGACACGACTCATGTGTTTTTCGGAAAATGTTTCTCCAGCTAGCTCGACTATAATGCATAATTAGCGAATACGTACACTGTAGTTCAGACTCTTTGAAAACTTTTGAAAATTCTAGGTATTTTGACTTCACGCACTAGTTTCGTATTCTAGCTGTAGTTCATTAGCTCGACTACACTGTAAAAGCACAGAAACTATATTGTTTTCTGTCAAACATGCTCCAGTAGTCGCACTATAATCGTCTAATTTAGGTCGGACTAATACCGTGCTAAAAAACGACAGACAACTTGTATTTTGAGTTATATAACATCGTAGCAGTAATCGACTACTATCCTAATTTAGGTCGACTATTAAGATCAAAAATTTCAGAAATAATGAGCTTTTATATTAATTAAATTTTTAAAAACTGTATTTATATCTAATGCGTTTAAAATAGGCGAGTTTCTCATACGCTTAACCCAACACACTTAAGGCCTGTGTTAGTGTAATTCTAATAAATTGTGTGTGTGTGCGGCGTGTGTGCTGACTCAGGCTTTGTACAAATTCATTCTAAGCCAAAGCAAAAAATTGCAAATACATTATACTGGGTTTGTTCTTCATTTTCCTTCACTTCAGAAACTGCCTTGATACTTCACTTGCCACTTGCTACATATTCTGCCATATTGGGACAAATCTGTTTATTATGAAAGTTAGTGCCCCACACCAAAATATAAATTTTAGTTATCATCAAAACCATTATCTGATGCGATAGAACATGAATTATTGGCACCAGCAGCTTTGGGGAATGTCCAAACACCAAAGGTATGATCTCCACTTGCTCTTGTTGAAATTGAATTTTCACAAAACTCAAACTCTCAATTAAAAGCTCTTTAAACCAAACTTAAACAAGCACTAAACAAGTTTAAACCTTTGTTAAACTATTTTAAAACATTCTCTTTTTTTTTTTGAAAGAAAACAACAAAGGGGTATTTATACCCACTCCAAAACTCAGCCAAAAACTCAAAATAGAAAGACCAAAAGGCCCCCAGAAAAACCAGCTCAGAAATAGCCGTTGAAGTCTAACGGCTCTATTGTCGGTCGACCGAAAATTCCGTCGGTCGACCGATGAGAACAAAAACACGAGGAAAACATTCTGGACCATCGTCGGTCGACCGGTGCGGTCGACCGATGGAGTTTTTCGGCCCAGTGAACTTTTGACCTCAGGTTCGGTCGACCGGTGCGGTCGACCGAATACTGATACTTCTGAAAAACAGTTTTGAAAGCTGTACATCTGATTTTGAAACACTGTTTAAAAATATCAAATAAATTCCAAAAAATGTAAAACTTTGGGGAATGATTGTAGACATGATAATAAACATGCTAATAAACATTTCGAAAAAGGACTTCCCAAATGAAAGATATCATCATTTAGTAAAATAGTCCAAAACACGAAAATGTAAACATGTGAATTTTGACATTTTGGCTAAAATAATGCACGCCCTCATTATTTTTCCTAAGACATCAAGATCCCACATTCTAGCTGGTTGGCGGACAATAACGAAGCCTGCTTGGAGTACCCCGAATGTGCGTTCCACGTCCTTCCTGCATGATTCCTGTTGTTTGGCAAAAAATTGATGTTTGTTGCCTTAGGGCATTTGAATTGACTGCACGAAGACAGGCCACTTAGGGTAGATTCCGTCGGCAAGATAGTATGCAAGATTGTACTCCCGCCCATTCACGGTGAAGTTTACCCGTGGAGCTTCACCAGACTCAATGTCGTCAAAAACCGGTGACCTATCTAGTACATTTATGTCATTCAAACTACCAGGAAGCCCTGAAAAAGCATGCCATATCCACAAATCATATGACGCAACTGCCTCGAGAATAACTGTTGCCGTCCCCTTGTGTCCACTAGTAAACTGCCCTTGCCCAGCCTTAGGACAATTTTTTTACTGCCAGTGCATGCAATCAATACCTCCAATCATCCCTGGGAATCCACGTTCCTGTCCAACTTGGAGCAACCTCTGCAAGTCTTCCACATTTGGTCGTCGTAAGTATTCATCTTGAAACAATGCTATTACCCCTTCGCAAAACTTGCGAGTACACTCGATAGCAGTGGATTCTCCTATCTTGACGTACTCATCACAAGAATCGGCTGCGACTCCATATGCGAGCATGCGTATGGCAGCCGTACACTTCTGGATAGGTGTTAACCCAAGCTTGCCCGCATTATTGCGCCGTTGTGTGAAGTAATCATCGTAATTTGATATAGAGTCCACAATTCGTAGAAAGAGAGGCCTTTTCATTCGATACCTGCGTCGGAACTGGGCGTCAGTGTAAGTGCATGACTCGGCAAAGTAGTCGGCCATGAGTCTCTCATGCGCTGCATGATGATCTCTATGTATGGATTTCCTCTTACGTGGTTGTTCGCTTCTCCTTTGCAATTCTTCAAGAAGTTCTCGCTGCCTATCAAGTATTTTTTCTTCTATTTCCCATTGTTGTTGGAACTCTTCTAGACTAAACTCATTTAGGAAAGGATCCATTGGATGCTATGATTTTTGAAATGTTGATAGGTATACTTATGATGTGCATCTGATCAGTTTATATAATGAAGGGTAGTTGTTCAAATAATTGAATTCACATGCAATTGCAGAGACATGTGTCATAGGGCATGCATGTGCAGAGAGTTGTCAATTCATATTTTGAACATCAGAGACATGTGTCATAGAGCATGCAACATCAGAGACATGTGTCATAGGGCATGCATGTGCAGAGAGTTGTCAATTCATATTTTGTATTATTATGCAGGTGTAGTCATTTCATCCTTTGTATTTTTTGCAGTGAAAGGTCAATTCAACATTTGTTTGTTTTTACAGTGAGTAGTAATTGTATCTTTTGTACTATTATGCAGTGAGAAGTCAATATCAATCGGCTTTATTGAACCATAAACAACAATTTTATTCAAACATAAACAACACTTTTATTAATACATTCAACAAACATAGGCACCCACACAACTCCAAAATTAAACAAACGGCACACAAAAACATCAGAAAGAAAACACACAATCAAAACTTCTTGAGAAGGTCTTATTTTCCAAACAGGTTCTTCCTCAACATATTATAAGCTTCTTCATCTTCATCGTCACGATCTGGTTTGTTTTTCAAGAATAACCACATCTCCATATTCTTGGAATGAGCCAGGTTATTCATAGCTGAAGCAGTACTTGATCTTTTCTCTTCAAATTTTTCATGAGCACTGACTAGCTTAGATAACTCCTCCTCAATTGCCCCCTTTGATTTCCTTGACACAGATGTTTTACTAGAGGAACCTCTAGCTTTCTTCTTTGCCACGTCCCTACCCTCTGGACGTACAAGGGTAGGAGTTGATGATTCAACATCCTCACCACTACTCTTTCTTTTAGAGCCACTACTACCGGATGCATTTCCTCCTGTCATATATTTGGGTTGATTACGAACCACCTTCCACTCATCCACCAAATTAAACGTCGTACCTATTTTCTCAAAGTACAACTCTCTTGCCTTGGATATGTAGTTTTCATCGGACCAACCGCTACGCTTCTCCCTACATGCAGTACTGTAGCAGCCAATGAAACTGGATATCTTTCTGTTGATGTCTTTGAAATGACTATGGCACCGAGACACAATCCTCTCGGATATCTTTTTGTTGATGTCTTTGAAATGACTATGGCACCGAGACACAATCCTCTCCTTTCCACTTTTGGCGTTCTCATTCACGTACTGTGTAATTTTACCCCAGAAAGTTTCACCCTTTTGGTTGTTCCCCAACTCACTATCATTACTAACGTGAAAATAACCAGTTAGTAAAAGTATGTTGTCTTCGGTGGTCCAAGTTTCATAACTTGATCTCTTTGCTGATTGTTGGGTTGGAGGGAGAAAACTGTGAGGAGTATCCGCACCAACATTTCCCAAAGACATTTGGGTGGAAAATTCTGAGATATCTGTAGATCCGCTACTAAACCGGGGTGTCGCTGGCTCACTCGACTCCGTGTTAGGACAATTCATATGGGAGGGAACATAGCTGCTTCCTGGAACTGGAGGATAACCGTAAGGAAGATAAGGATATTGCATGCCGAAATTTGGTTGCATCATGTACGGCATTTGAAAATTTGGCGGCATCCTCGTATTTTGAGTATTTTCGGGGCGTTGTATATTTGGATGTTGTGGTTGAGGGAGGGTATTTTGAGGTTGTCTAGGAAAGTTGTAGTTGTAGGAAAAATTAGGATAGTTTTGTGAAGGATCCATGAAGAAACTAGCTTCAAATTGTAGAAAGAAGAAGAATAGGGTGTAGAAACTCAGATTTTTTTTGGTGTCCAAATGACACAAAGTTAGTCTCTATTTATAGAGTTTGAAAAATAAAAATTAATGGTATAAAAATTATAAATTATTTCATTGTATTTATCTCAAAAAATATCAATTAAAAATAAGGAGGAAAACAAAAATGCTCGCCCAATCAAATTTCGCCACGTGGCAGCTGGCCATCATGCGCGCGCGTGGGCTTGTCAGAAATGCCCGGGGTGAATTTTTCACCCCTTGGGCTTGTCAATTTGATTCACCTGCACAAAAAACCCCTGCTGCAACCAAATATCTCTCGGAAAAACCCCTGCTGCATTATCCTATAATTTCTTCTTTGCATCTCAGAGGTGCCCAACTTTGTCCTCCAAATCCTTAACTTGTTTCCATAGTGACTTGACCGTGGGATCTACCATGAATATCATCTCTGGCGCCAACAACTACCGGGGATGCTTGGCATACCCAGCATCGATGATCGACATCACTAAAGTTCTCAAACTAGGTGGAAAAACAAAAAAGAGAAGGAAAAAAGAACTGTGTGTAGCGAGCAATTATCACTCATCCTCAATTAAAGGGAGAAAACCAATCAAAAAGCCACCACGTGGTGTGATCATGTTGCCCAAGATATTATTAAGTGGCCAATTAAAGGGGGATGGGAACATGAACGGTTATTCTTGCTCAAACTATACCCGCATCAGCTCGTTCAAGCCTTCTCTGCTTGACTCACAAGAAGCATGTAGTTCGCTCACGCTAAGTGTCAGTACAATGTGCAGTCAACATGCGCTTGGTTCATGAGCAATGCGCAGATCCAGGCATATGCCTGCAGCTTTCAAATAACAAGCTAATCGTCCATAATAATCAGGTTATTTTGTTTCATTCATCAAAGCCAAAAGAATTAGAATGCAATATAAAACCGTTTACTGAGAGTTTTCTTTATAAAGTGCAAGTACATGAGAGACAAAACACAAAGAACTTTAGACAATGTAAAGCAAAAAAAAAACAACTTCCTTTTAATAAAAGTTCACAATAATATTACAATCCTAGGGACTAGAAAGTAGAAAGGGGATGACACATAGAATAAAAGAAGAACAACAATGACCTAGTCGCTCAGGGGCTGTTTGGTTGTATGTTTTTACCATGTAAAAGGATGGAAAGTGTAAAAAAGTGGGTCCCAATGTCAGCTTTCATCACTTTCAATTGTTTGTTTGTAGTTGTGAAAATAGTGTAAAGTGATTTCATATGCTGATGTGGCTTGTAAAGTGATTTCATAAAAAAAAGACATGATTTTAGGAGAAAGCTGACATTTAAGTCAGGAAAAAATAATAAAAAATAATTCCAACCAATATGATCATTTGAGTAGGGACCACTTTTTACACTTTCCAAACAAACAATTAAAGTTATATTTGCAAACCAAACAAGCAATTTATGATTCTAATGGAATAAAAAACAAACAAAGAAAAGTACAAAAGTAAAATTGATGAGGTGGACAACAACTTTCTAAGTTGCGTCATAAATACACAACTTTACCAACAACAACCAAACAGCTCCTCACAGAGTCCTCGTGGCTCAAGTGCCAAGGGTTCACTACAACAGACAGGCCTTTTAGCAACCAACTTTTTTACGAGAAATTATTTTTCCTCAACAAATATCACTTTCGACGAGGAAAATATTGTTTCCTCGGTAAATATCAGTAGGTCTTCTACCAGGAATATAATTTCCTCACAATAGACCACCTTCTACGATGAAAATTTTAGTTCCTCACTAAAGATGATCATGATTTAGTCTCCTAATGTTATTTTATTGGCGAGGAAATATGAGATTTTGGTGATGAACTTTTTCATCGCGAAATGCACATTTAACGAGGAAATAATCATTTCATCATTGTTCTTTTTGGCGGAAAATAGAGGAAAACCCGCTAAATGTAATAGCGACTAAGTATGATTTCCTCACTAAAGATCCATAATCTGCGAGGAACCGTTTCCTCATCAAAAGAATGAAATAGCGAGGAAATAATAGTTTCCTCATTATTAGTTGGAGGGAAGAAAAAAAAACCCACCAATTTCAATGGTGACAAATTTAAGGCTTCCTCGCTAAAAGTTTTTGTTTTTACGATGAATCGTTTCCTCGTTAAAAAAAACCTATTAGCGAGGAAATTATAGTTTCCTCACTATTAATTTTGCGAAAAAATTTACAACACCCACCAAATTCATTAATGACAAATTAAATATTTCCTCGCTAAATTTTTTTTTACAAGGAACTGTTTCCTTGTTAAAAAAACCAATTAGCAAGGAAATAATACTTTCCTCATTATTAGTTTGGCGAAAAAATGTGCAACCCGCCAATTTCAATTGCAACAAATTTAAGGCTTCCTCACTAAAAGTTTTTGTTTTACGAGGATCCGTTTTGTGGTAAAAAATAACCTATTAGCGAGAAAATAATAATTTTCTCATTATTAGTTTGACGGAAAAATGCGCAAAACCCGTCAAATTCAACGGCGACAAATTTAAGGCTTCATCGCTAAAAGATTTTGTTTTGCGAGAAATCATTTCCTTGTTAAAAAAACTAATCAGCGATGAAATAATAATATCCTCATTATTCGTTGGTGAAAATTTTGGTGGGAATTTTGGTAAAAAGTAGGTGGGTACTCAAAGAAAAGAGCGGGCCTCTAATATCAATGGCCTAACAAATGTCCATATACAAGTCAACAATCGTGGGCCAATTTAGATTTTTTTTGAATAAATGTCCAGCACGAGGTCAAGCTCCAGTATGGATAGAAATAAGGATTTGGTTTGTCTGGTTGATGGTTCCTTTTTGTAGGTTTTTGCAGAATTCACATGAAGATTAACAACCAATTAATATTTATCCAGGTTCAAAGAGATCCCAATGATAAATGATTGCTCACAAATCTGATAAGATTTAAATAATTTACGATTTTTGAATATACATTTATTTCAGACTTCTGAAATTAGATTATGTTAATAGATAATATTGACTTCTGAAAATAGATTAAATCAAACGTGAAATAAAATCTTTTATTCCTATTTGGCACAACATTAGTACAAAATAGGACAATCCAAACGATTATTAGAATCGTTTGGACAAGTAAAAACAGTCCAAACTGTTAAACCCGTTTGGGATAACAAAACCAAAACGGTTGAAACCGTTTGGGCTGATAGGAGATCCAAATGCAACCCCCAAACAGATTTAAC